CTGAAGCTACCAATGATGCCTGCTGCAATTTAAAATTACCATAGCATTGGCGTGCACACAGTGGCATTGCCAAGGTTGTTTGTTAGTTTGCAAAACAACGGCAAAAGTACACTTTATGCACTCAATTTCGAAGAAAGATGCCGCAGATTATGTTCGCTGTAACCGAAAACCTGTTGCAAGCGGGTCCGTTATAATGAGCATAGACTATACTATTCAAATTTGATTCGAGATCACTATTTGCTTTCAAACTAAAATTTGCTATTAGCACACGCCTACCAAGTGCATAGCCTCAAGTGCTGCAAGCAGATTCTTTTGTGTTATAATTTTACAAACTTTCCTTGTTCCTCATTGTTAGAACGATGAATTTCGATGGGCTGCTAAATAGCTGAATTGTTGGATTTAAAAACTGCTTGCAGCACCTCAACCCCAATTCCTTTTCATTCTATAATCTCATCATATAATTGTAATTAAAATTTATGTACCTATTTTTTGTCTCAAGAAAAAATTGCTCTACTTTTAAAATGAGCACAAAACAAAATATACGTGATCTTAAAGTGAATGCCCAGAAAATGGAGGACACAGCCCTAGGTCTGCACTAGGTAAGTCCCCAGCTCTTCTCTTGATCAAGCTGTCCACCACTAGTGAAAGCTGGCCAAGTTATTAGCCACTTTTAGCTGACCGATTTTGTGCTTCGTTCCCCGTTCTGCTCCACCTTACTGGAGCGCAACAAACGTTTTCTGTTTTAGCTAAGCATCATTTGATCAACATAATCGCGACACCACTGGTGCATGAATGTTGTTGCAAAGAAAAATAAGTATTGTTCTTGTCTTGCAGCAAGACAAAAAATGCTGTTTTAAAACAGCGTGCAATCATTTACTGTTTCACGCATGAACATTTTTTATTTTTTTGTCACCTTCACTTGGAGCTAGACTACAATGGAAGCCTTCAAGGCTTCAAGGCGTTTCAAATGACCTGCCGCGAGGCAGCGCGTTCACCGCGTTACATTGTGGCAAATCGAACTAAAGACCTTCTCTGAATAGGTGGAAGAGTGGCTGCTGTTAAAAACTAAATCGTTACTATTGTAACATAAAATTGCTTACTGTCAAAGTCCCTTTGATGGAAGTAACAAAGAAGCATCTTGAGACGCTCCTATATGGTCCGAAGTAGCAGCTCTAGATCGTTTCGTGCAACTTCGCCCAAGCGCAGATTCTCGAAGGGATTGGCTGCGACAACTTCTCAGAGGAGATGCTTATGTGTCCTGAAGTGCCGTCGGTGCTTGCGTGTTTGTTGAACGACCACTGCGTTTCCCGAGCAGCGCAGACTCGCGGCACAAGAGGATGCCATTTTGGTCGTTTCTCCTCGGGTCTGATGATCCTTCGCTCACTAAGATGGTCTGCTTACACGCTCAACCCAACCACCGACTGGTTGAGCGGAGCGGGAGACAAAATACGGTCAGCTAAAAGTGCCTATTATTATTCTTGTCCTTCACTTCACAGCACATTTCCAGTGGCAGTATTGCAAAAAAATGTGGTACACAGCTGCTGAACACAGAGAAAAAGCTCCTGGCAGTACAACCATTTGTTTACACTGAAATTACATAACAATTACTATCATACTTCTAAGGAGCTTTAAGTCTCCTTGATATACTATTTAGGCTACAATGATAAATACCTCAACTATTAATTCACGTGCAAATACAGTGAAATCTCAGTAGGACGAACCCCCCATTAACCAACTTTTAAAAAAATTATTTCACTGCTACGTATTTCAGAATACGGAACTTTTTAGAATAACGAGTGCTAATTTAGTTCCGCATTATATTAACGCCTCAGTACGGCAAACTCATGTTCTGAAATCCGTAGCGACCACCGGAGCGGTACGCAAGCAGACAACACAGCGAACGGACGCCTTGCTTCTCCGAGCACGCCCGATAGTGCGCAGGGGGAAAAACGAAAGAGAGGCTTTCTTTTCTTTCTTTTTGTTGAAACGCCGACACTGCAGGTTTACAAGCGATGAGGTGAGGGGCGAGGGCATCACGAGAGGGCAAGGACAGCGAGGCAGAGTGAGAGTTGCGGAGCAGGAAGCATGGGCGTGGACAACTTGAGACAGCGAGAGAGCAGAAAACTAAACGCGATAGATTTTCTGTTTGTTTTTTCTTTTCTTTGGAAGAGGCGATCACAGCCATACGGTTTGGGTTTTTCTTATCTTTTTCACTTCTACATGTGCTCCAGGAGGCCTTGTCAGTCGTGTTCATCTCTTTTCGGTGATTACTTATGGCGTCCACAAAGCAAGTCGGTGTTCGCGCTGCGGAGCTACACATGAGTTGATCTCTGCTTGCAACGAAAAAGCGGAAGCAGTTTTCGCTAAGCAAGAAAGTGGATTGCACCATGGAATCGCACCACAGAAATGTGGATAAGCTGGAGGCCTTCGCACTGCAAAGTTTGTGCTGCATGGGTAAAAAAAAAAAAAAAAAAAAAAAAACCTGTCTTTTTAAAGTAAACATGCATATTTTAGTGTTCACTTGTGCATTTGTTTTTTTTTTTTCTCGAGAAAAACTAGTTCAAGGACCCACCGTTTCAAAGGTGAGTCGTTTTGGTTGGTAGAAAATAGGTATTTATGGTTAATTTTTGGCCTTTCACTATAACGAGCTTTTAAAATAAAGTATGAATTGCCGCGGCCCACTGAAGTTCGTTATATCGAGATTTCACTGTATTAAATACAAACTCTGGTTTCCTGTAAATTATGACATTCAGTTTGAAGCATCATTGAACTGACTATACTTGCTGAATTCAATGCCAAAGAATGCACCCCCCCCCCCCCCCCCAAAGTGCAATTTTAAGGTTTTACCTTTCACAGAACAAGAGTTGTGAAGCATCCAAGTTGCCATTTGAGTGACATAAAAATTGATTTTGAATGCGAAGCATTTTCTAGTCACATCTACTTTCAAAATACGGCGTCGGCGGCGCTGTCGACACCCTCACTGCGCATGCTCACGTCTCGTGCCAACTATTGCCCCCCCCCCCCCTTCTCTGTCTCTCGCCTCGCAAAGGTGATGCAGGCAGCGTCTGCTAGTAAAAAACTGACTGCTCATGCTGAACAACAGTTCACTATCCACATTGTATATGAAGGCCCTGGATAACGCGCTTGAAATTTAGTCAAGGGCATCTTTACTTGGCTTTTGCTCGATTCAACGCTTTGCTTGACTCGAGTAGATCCGATAGAAGCAGTAGTACCTTCAACCAGTAGTGGGGCACAACTTAACAACTACGTTCCACCACTCGTTGAAAACAATGATTTTTTTACTATTAATAAAAAATAAGAACAACAAAGACGAAATAACAATTGATTATCCCCAAACCATACCCACTTACGCAACATTCAAGCGACACCCCCACCACTCTGCAACGCATTTACTCGAGTTCCCCCTTGAGGGAAGATGCAGGCGGCTTGTTTATTTCATCCTTTTTGAAAATTCATATAACTTGCGGAAACCTACAACTGTCGCTAAACACAGCTGCTTCTTCAGCTAAACCAAAAGTGATCAAAACCGAGTGCAAGATCTGGGAGAATCCAGTCGGGAGACTATAGCAATGAAAAAAAAAAAAAAAAAAAACCGTAATTACTCGAATCTAACGCGCACCTTTTTTCCGGTTAAGGGAGTCCATAAATCGCATGCGCGTTAGAATCGAGTACGAAAAAAAAAAAATGAATACGGTCATTCTATTGCCATCAGCATTTCCAAAATGGCCGCCCCCTACATGCGTCGGCATGGAGCGTCGGCCATTTCTGCCTATGTGTTTCGCATGTGCAGCACTTCGTACTTGTGCTGAGGAGTTCACCATCTGGTAGTGCATTAGCATCGACGGCATGGAAGGGCCGACTCCAAAAACTCGACGAGTGCACCACCGTGCCGCTTTTAAAAAAAAAGTCATCGCGTGTGCCGAAACGGATGGAAATCAGGCCGCATCGCGGTCGTTCGGAGTTTCTGAAATGTGCGTGCGGGACTGGCGGAAACAAAAGCAGAATATTGTCGACTGCAAAGATTCACGTAAAGGCTTCACTGGACCACAGCAGGGTCGGTTTCCGCAAATTGAAGAGCTGCTCGGCGAGTATGAGATTGAGCAGTGAGCGGCACAGCGGCCCGTGACGACAGAACTGCTCCAAGTGCAAGCTATGCAGTTAGCCTTAGAAAAAGTGCTAATGCCGAGCCAGTTTAAAGCGAGCAGGTGCTGGCTAACTAACTTTATGAAAAGGAAAGGCTTTTCTCTTGGAAAGTGAACGGGCATATGCCAAAAGTTGCCGGAGGAGTACGAAGAAAAGCTTCACAGTTTTCAGAGGTTCGTCCTAAACTTGCGGCACAACAACGGCTACCTGCTTGGGCAAATCGGGAATGCCGATCAAATGCCTCTTTAACTTCGACATGCCTGGCACCACAACTGGCGAGAAGAAGGGGGCGAAGCAAGTTCGCGTGCTGACATCGGGCCACGGTAAAACTAGAGTGACGGCAATGCTCCGTGGCACGTCAGATAGGCACAAGCTTTAACCGTACCTCATATTTAAACGGAAGACGCTCCCGAAAGGAGTCGTTTTCCCGAGTGGTGCGATAGTGCGGGCCAACGAAAAAAATAGGTGCACGTTGCAATCTATGTCTTACATTTTTTTTTCCCGCCGTGGAAACCGGGTGCGCGTTACAATCGAGGGCGCGGTAGAATCGAGTAAATACGGTAGGTAAAATATAGCAATAATGAACGACACACTATTGGTCGGTTATACAACATTAAAGGCTGTAAGGGCTAAAATAATGAACCAGAATGCACAAAACTTGGTGAGGTTATGTCCTAGAAGCAAGAAAATATGTTTTGACCAGCATCATTTTCGATACAACCGCCAACAGCCTAAAAGTGGCAGCATGTGGCACATTGGTACAACACAGTTGTGTCGCCTTGGAAGCCAATGCTGACAGCAACATAGTGCACTTGTGTGCGCGTGCATGCACCTACCCGGGGAATCTCCACCTGGAGCCGCTGCCTCTCCTTGGACTCCAGCAGGAGGCGCCCTCCTCTGTTGGTCAGACGCGATGGGTCAGAGGCAAGCTTCTCCAGCTCAAGAGACCTGGACCAGAGGGCTTCGTGGCGCTCTGCCTTGGCTATGATGAGCTTGTTCTCAGAGTAAAACTCCTTCAGGGCCTTCAGCTGCTCCTCCAGCAGGGCCAGCCGTTCCTCAGAGATGTCTGCATACGCATTCCAGAGACTATACAGGGATCACAACTGCATCGATGAACTTTTCCTTTCCAGTCGACAGGGGGTGGGACTGTCATCTTGGAGTAAGCTAAGCACAGGGAAAATCACAATTTGATACACCTCATTATGGAGCAGGACCATCTGAGATTCGTAGGCTTTAACAGTGAAGCTTAACTGCTGCACCCATATTTTGATAGCCTTGGCAAGTTCTTAATTAGGGGCAGCCATCACAACAAAAAAGTGCTGAGACAATTAAAATCAGTTGATTTATAATTGTACCTTCTTTTTTTACAGCAAAACAGAATGGGCGAAGTACCGAATGAGCAGCTTCAATTGCCCTGAATACTATAAAACACCATAAATACTGTAAAATACCACAGCCCTGGGCCAGCCCTCTCGTGCACCAATCCGTTTCTGGTCTTAGTGGATCTCAAGTTGACTAGGCTGCAATGTTTGATGTAAGAGTATGCCAAGTGATTAAAAGTGACAATTACATAGAGCAAACCACATGTGAGAAGTGAATCAAATGCCAAGGTAAATTATTGTGGATTAAATATGCATCAACAACTTGGCGGCCAAGCTTCAGAAAACACCCTGTGGCAAGATCTAGCAGACCAAAAGAAAATGACCAGTAAGAGTGCAATAAACTAAGAATGTTGTCAGAGTAATTTAACAAGTCTCTCATTAGCTGTGGGGACCAATCTTTCACACAGTAAGTACTGATGGGCCAGTAAGAAAAAAAGGTTATCACCTCCCTAAAAAACGTTTGAGGAAGCGAAAATATGACAATCGTGACTTGTGGCTGCATCAGCTAGGACTTCACAGCAAGCATAAATTGCACGTAGGGAGAGTTAAATGCTTTAATTGTGATAAAACACGCCTACAGAGATGTCCTTTTAAATTGGTTTATTTTCCCACGATTGCACACTTTTTCATAGAATAACTAGCAAACAGTAATTTGTTCACAGCTCAAAATAACTGCAAACTTATGAATTTCTCACACTAGAACAACTGTCACCCACATGGTCCATCTGGTAACTACAGTATCACAGCTTTTCTCAGAAATAATACCTTTCTTGGAAAGCCTTTTGGTATGCTGAACAAAACTTTACAGTTTCACATGTCTGGAGTAGAGTCACGGCTTGATTGCAAGTAACTTCTGTGGGACGTGTGCCACAGCCCTCACCCAATAAATTGGAGAGTTCCAGAACCATTGTGCCCTTTTCCACCCAGAAAAACTAGCACAGCGTTCACCAACAGAGTGTAGAAAGTTCTCTTGCAGACAAGGAACTCCTTCGTCTCCTCTCACACAGAAAGTAGCATTCACATTCCATGGAAATGAACCTTTCCATGAATTAGCACCCACCATCTATGGCGGCTGCAAAGCATTAAATGAAGCTGAAGCGCTGGCGGAGTGTCGTAAGCTCACGGAAGCGTTGGCTCACTTCGTGTGCCACAGCACGCAGGCATTTGAATGCATCCATTGCAAGAATCTTTTACGTAATAACCCTGTTTCAATCTGCAATCACACAAAAGGCACAATCCAGAGCAACACGGAGCCAGCAAACATTAGTATTTTTGTCTTATTATTTACCCGCGAAAAGACTAATTGAATCGGTAACATTACTTGGCTTTTGCGGCGAGTCTCCTGTGCTTCGTTAATCTTATTTCTGCGTAGCGGAAGTTTTCCTTATTTGTTTTATTGTCAACATGACCGTACAGTTTCATTATTTGTATACTTTATGTTGGGCACAATCATTCGTGATATGTTTCCGCGCGATACGCAGTGAAAGACCGTGGCGTTTGGTGGATGATAATGTCAAAATCCCACCCTTATAAATGAGTTGGAGCCCCACTATGCTGTGTAGATTTGAATACTAATTGGTTGTTCCAAATACTGCGTGTGAGAAACTTTGCACTTGGGTCGCTGAGAGTAGTAAAAACCAGCTACCAGCACGTCCATAGAGCAGGCATCAAGTCGGTGCTTTTAGTGCGGATATTGCACAATTACAGAGCAGCGCCGCACTGCATGAAGCAAAAATACTCTGCCAATTTCACTTCGCATGCAGTATTTGTTTTCAATCTGCATAGTTTCTCCTTTCACGACTGTGAGTTGAAAATTAACTCAATTTTGGACCAGACTGTGCAAAAGGTCATGACTAGTTAACAATGAAAGAAATATACAGTCGAATCTCAATAATTCGAACTCGAAGGGGCTTGAAAATTTGTTCAAATTAAAAGAAGTTTTAATTATAAAAGCTAAGTAAGTGGAGGGCTCTCCATGATGTGGTGCATGTGCATTGAGCTAAGACACGAGGGGAAGTTTGAGAAGGCTTGCATTTATTCACAAATCACAGGACATCTGTTATTAATTGAAGTAATCGGTGATGCGCATCTGTACACGTTTGACTTGCAGCGAGTCAATCAATTTCGCACGCAGCTTGCAAAGCATTTCTACTTCAGTTTCAGCATTCTCCAGTCAAGAGAAGTTGCACGCGAAAATGTCGAGCACCGACACTTTCTAAAGACTGCGATAACGACTGCTGCGCAGCAGAGCCTCCCGCTCTCCGCTACGCAGCAGCAGCATGGCCAGCACGTGATGAGAAAGGAGGAGCGTCTCCACGCGGAGAGAATTTTAGAGAAAAACAGCACTCCACGGCACCTTTTTTTTTTTTTTTTGCTCTCTTTGCGCATGTTGTTGAAAGGAGAAGGGTTACGTGGCAGGGAAGGGACAGGGGGAAGCATGGCACCGGCGCGTGAGAAACCCCCTCCCCCCCCCCCCCCTCAAGGCGCAGAGCCGTGCTCCTGAAAGGGGCAAGGGCTGCAGAAGATAGTGCCTTTTTCCTCTCCTTCAACCACACAATCATTCAATCCAGTGCCGGCTTTACGTGGCAGCGACGAAAAAGGGAGAAGCGTGACACGGGCGCGACGCAGATTGGCATTTGAGAGACAGCAAACATTCCACCGCAGCCTTTTCTTTCCTTTTCATTTCCTTCAGGGGCAGCATTGTGGTGTCGCAGGTGCCGCGGTGGGATTGGGCAGGGTGCTGAGAGCGTTTTCGGAGCGCGGTATGTTCGAATGAATCGTCGGAAGTGGTTGGGCATTCGAATTACCGGGCGTCTTCGCCCATTGGAATACACATAGCTTTGACGGGACCTCATCGTGAGTTCGAATCAACCGGAAGTTCGAATTAAGAGTGTTCGAAATAACAACATTCGATTGTATAACAAAATCGGCGTCAGTGTGCATAATCTACACAATATTCTATTTCACTGCACTCCAATCACAGTGGTCTTATCGTGCAATCTGCGAGGGCAAGGTAATAATTGTGGAGAAATGTTCACTTGGTCTCAATCGAAAATGTACCTGGGACCAGACTATACCTACTCACTTAAAAACAGCTTGTTCGCTGCGTATATGCCCTAGAAAACTTAAATATGTCTAAAAAAAAAAAAAACTCTTACTGTCCTTTCTTTTTTTTTCCGCAATTTCGTCACTCTGCTCCCCAAAGCAATAGAATTGTAGCAAGGTGTCTCCCGTTGTTTCCAAGCGTGCAGCAGTCATTTCCCTTTACATTAATGGATTCAGAACTGTACAGAAGATTTCATCGCACAGCATCAATATGCCATGTATACCGTACACTGTTCTGATTGATTGATATGTGGGGTTTAACGTCCCAAAACCACCATATGATTATGAGAGACGCCGTGGTGGAGGGCTCCGGAAATTTCGACCGCCTGTGGTTTTTTAACGTGCACCCAAATCTGAGCACACAGGCCTACACCATTTCCGTGTACACTGTTCTAGCTAGTATGTGCATTCATGTTTGAAGCTATTGCACTGGCACAAACAGGCGCAGCTTCGTACCACACAAAATTTTGTGTGATCGTTTCACTAGTGATGAAGGAATAAACTCCAGTCTTGCTCAGAGCATAGTGCACCATAATCAATTTACCAAAATGCATGAACTTCGACAAGAAGTGCCACCGCATGCAGCACAAGTTTACTTACGCTGTACTGAGCACCATCCATGCCTGGCGATTGTGTGTTTCGGGCATTCCGATGAAGGTCGCTGGAATTTCACTGCTGGCATCAACATTTTGGAATTTCACTTCTAGCATCAACAGCATCGGCGCTGGAGCGAAGCAGAAAGGGGTGTCTGCGGTTTCGCGAACAAGTTGCCGAAAGAATGCGGGCCTGCCGACAGCCATCCAAATATAGGTATTGTCCTCCCAACCTGAAGGCGAGGCGCAAGCAGTCACGACCCCGCGAAGTATACAGCGAGACGACCGAAATTGTCTTGGTTGCGCTAGCCTCCTTGAAGAAATGGCGGCGCCAGCATGGGTGACAATCAGCTCCGCAAAATGAGCATGGTGGGCGGGGGTCCTTTGGTGCTTTTGGTAGTGCGGCGATAGTATGAGCATGGGACCCTGTACGCAGCGGCATTCTCACCCCAAGGAAGAGACAACTTGGCACTGGAGGGGGAGTGTGGTGGCCACATCCCGGTCAAAGACGTTGACCAGGGCGACACCGTTGAAAGTGATGTCATTGATGCGTGTCCAATAATTGGACAGAGAAGTTTAAGGTAATTGCCCTATTTAAGGATGAGGGGAAAAGGGACTCTTGATAACCAGCCACAGTGGGCTCCTGCGAGAGCCTTCGACGAGATCGTCACGATGTAGGACGGCATTTTCATCTAGTGGTGTGATCCATTGGCAGATTTGGAGCACTTCCGGTAATACTTTCTTCTGCTCCATGCGGAGTAAGTCTATTCAATTGGCAGCTTGAGAGTGCTCCCTGCATGTTCCATTGGCAGATCTGGAGCAGCTTCGTCGTGGGATCCACTCCAGGGAGCAACTTTTTTTACTCCGTGAAAATCTGCAGATTCGACAGGGAGTTGCAAGCAGCCCGTGCCTTGAAAGTGTGCCAACTTTGGGTACGCCAATAGACACCGGTCGCGTCAGATGCGCCTCGCATCGGAGCTCACGTT